TTCAGCAGACTCAAGGAATGGCACTAATCAGAGCCCTGAAGCCTCTGAGACCCTCCCAGCTCTGCTGAACAGATTTCCAGGATCATCTGAAACTTGAATCTTGCATAAGTTTTGAGAATAACAGAATGGGAGCCAGACTTCACAGGGATAATGGCCATTCCCCAAAATTTTTGATCTGAACATCCCTGCCCCACAACCAGACCCTGAAAGCACTGGAAGATGCCTACAGAATCCATGGAAAATGCAAAGAAATAATGCAGAAAGGCTTATTTTCTCTTCTTCCAGTATCTTTAGGATTTCTGCTCCCTCCCTTCAAGGAGGTGAGAAAGGAGAAAACGGTCTTGTATCAGGGTCACCCACCCTACTTAGCCGTGATGGGATGAATGCAATCATTTTTGATACACGTGAGACCAAACATTGTACCAGACAAGCCTCAAGGATGTTCAAGAGTATGTGAGAATCAGCCACACTAGCCAAAGTCACATAAATCTGCAGAAGCAGAGGGGCCCTGGCTGAGTGATGCTCCAAGTATTTGGCCAGACCCAACCCTGCCCCACACTGCGGCTGAAGCTGCTAGTGCTGCTGGTGATCTCTGCAAATAAACCCGGGGGAGTTTGCAGAGCTACACGCTGTGTAAAACTTGCTGTTAGCGTGGAGTGCTATAAACCTCGTTCCTAAGTCTCAAAGACAGTTATGATTTTAAAATAGCTACTTTCAGTCATTTGGGGGATTTGCTACAGAAAAAACCTCCTATAAACACTCTAGTAAAAACTAAACAGAAGCAGTATTTAGATAGAGGGGCCTCAGGAACGTTTTGGTTGTCATTGCAAAAACAAATAGGTGGTATAAGAGGAAAAATAATATGAAAAGCAGTGTTATTTTCAAGCCTATATTTAGCTGCTTTTTTCTTTTTCCTACTGCCAAGTCTCTTTGAGAAGGAAGATTAATGATTGACATTTCCCTGCAGAATAAGTTCAAGCTAAGATTAATTTAAATTATGGGAGAAGAACATATAAAGAAGTTTTGTGAATAAAAAAAGTTCAGCAGCACCCTACTACTGACATTTATGAGCTGTCAAATCTCATATGGTGCATACTGGAATTGCTACTCTCTGGTATTTTAATGTTTTTCCTTGGAAATCTTCTTTTGGGAGAAAAAGAGCTAGCCTTACCAGATTTCACCAGATCTGATATTTGTACTGATTAGCAGAATGTGTCATACCACCAGATGCAGACCAGAAGGACAGCTTTAGCTCATGCTAATGTGAACAACACTCTGGGTAGCACCCATGTTAATTGATTGTTTAGTATAGCTCAAGATTCATTTCATTTCCTTTCACGGATCAGCAAGTGTTGCGTGGCCATGACAAGCAGCAAAGCAAAGCAAAAAGATAACCACCTACCTGTGTCATCTAGTCTGTATTCCAGCTTACCTTGTAGTAAAAATGGCTCTCCATGTGTAGATGGGACATACACAGTCATGGTCAAGACGGTTAGCACTCCAAGGGACAGCTGGACAGACCACATCTTCTCCACGTTCCCACCACCCAAAAGCATTCTTCCTTCAGGCACGGTGGAGGACTTCAATGCAACCCAGTGCCAGATGAGCTCACTTTTAAGAGGCAGTGGATGTGCCGTGATTGCAAATGGCCTTTGGAGGAGGGGAGAAAAATATCTCTTGAGATATAATTCAACCTGTCAATATGATTCACTCCTTTGGGAGTGGACAGAACAACCCAGTAACAGACGTCAGATGGAACCTGTTCAATATATCTCATATCAGACTGATCTAATGAATTCTGATGTTCCCACCGGCATGCATCGTCCACGCATGTTGATATACATTCCATACGTACATACATTAAAAATATTTTTTGAGGGCTGCTGCTTTAATGGAGTTCAGACATGAGGAATCCCACATTAGCAAGGAAGATCTGTCTAACGTACAAGTTGCCATATGTCACCAGTTTGGACAGAATCAGGTTAATGGGGTTTTGTAATTTATCATCTCACTTCCTAGTGCCTATATTAATTAATGTGGGATATAATGAGTGCTGGAGTGGTGGAAAAGGAGGGGGAGAGTTCTTTTCATTTAACTGATTGGAGGATGTCGAGTGTGTCTCGCTCTCCGTGACTTACGACTTTGTCAACGGGAAAGGCATCACACCCTATTTTGGGATTGTGTCTGAGTGGGGGAGTGCAGATTTGGCAGCAGATATGGAATATATCAAGGATGGGCAACTGTCTTCAGTTTTTTCTTGGGGAAAAAAAGAAGTGGAAGGTCAGACGCTGGTTCTGGCTGCACAGCCATATTTTATTAATTTAGAGCAAAGTATTGAGGTACATTGCACATATGACTACATCTTGGTTTGGCTTCTATTTGTTGCCTGTCCATCACTATTGATCAGAGACCTGCTACTAGTTTTCTATTATAACCTTACCAAGAAAAAGGCTGTAATAGTAACAGTGCTAAACTTTGTTCTTCACTTCTGCTTCTGCAGAACTGAATCATCTGTGCTACACTTTGGCCACGCTCTGACTTGTACATACACTCCCCGTGACTCACCTCGTGTGCTTTTTTGACACCACATCATGCCAGATTACCCAACATAGTTTCATCTGATGGTACTTGCACTTCATCTTAAGTAAAAGACTATAATATCCATGTTTGGGCTTTTGGCTTCTGGTCCCCAGCTCTCCCTACAACTTGCTGTGTACCTTGGATAGCTATAGCATGACTAGCCTCGTAATATCCCTTTTAATATTTACTTTTTAGTAAAAAAAATGAGGGGAGAGAGGCTCTTTTTTTTTTTTTCCCCTAGAAATACCTATGAAAAAGAATGTGATGCTTCCATTAAGGAATACTTCCCTACTGAGGACATATTCCAAAATTTTCCCTGCAGATATAATATGTGCAAACTTGTCTTTTCTCTCAGACTTGTGAAGCAGTGATCACCCAGCTGACGTACTCCCCTTTCCTTCATCAGAAAGTTCTGTTTAGACTGAAGAACATAGGTGTCCTACAGGGAATGCTTTTCCAGCCTCCTTTTCCCTAAGCTGCCCACTTCAGATTGGTTGGTACTGAGTAGCCCCATGAAGCAGAGGACATAATTTGATGAGCACCACCTTGCACAGGGGTCCAGGGTGGACAATAGTAGCTCTGACTCAAAAAAGTATTCTTAAGGGAAGATCAAGTTCAGTTTTACTTGGTATTAAAGGGCTTCTCAGGTCCCTACTAGTCTGTCCTGTGATCTGCTGTGAAAGTGGGTTTGCCTTGACACAGGTGGTGGTTTTCCCCATCTCACTGAGGTCTATGCAGAATCCATAGATCTCAGACTGTTTTTTCCTACCCTGGGCATCATGCTATTAGCAGGCTTCTTCAGGAAGATGAGTTATTCCCTGGGATATTTCATTGCGGAGAAACTTCAGTTCTGGGTCACTGCGACTGTTCAGCCCCAAGAGCAACTAACATATATGGTGTGCAAGTCCTTTCAAGAGAGGGCGCTGGTGAAGGTGAAGGACTGTCAGTCTACATTTACGTACTAGCAGGGAGATGACTGGATGCTGTGTGTGGGTGGGTGGATAGATGCTTGATAGCTGCTGCCAGTCACCAGTGGACCTTTTGCATTTGTTGACATTATGAGATTGTTAATTTGAAGTGTTGGGTTTCTGTAAGACTCCTACCTAGAATATTCCTTTGCTTTTAGCCCATGTAAGTGGGTGCTGGAAATACTATTTAATTTTATTGATCTTAAATATTTTATTCTCAATAAAAACTGACATAGTCTTCATATTCCCTCTATTAATTGATTCAGTGATGATATCTTCTACATCATCCACTGAGAACTTGTGTCTAGAGCTCAGAGATAGCAACCACATGAAGACAGGAGCTCCATCTCTACCTCCCATGGTCCTAGTCTGTCTAAGCCTCTTCAGGTAGAAGTTTCTCTTTTCATAAAGCTATGCAGACTTCAGGTAATCAAGCACAATCAAACTGGAATATTGTCAAGGGTGGACAAAACAAACCAATCCAGAGGGCAGGAATGGAGACGACTTGGCCCAAGCAGCTGGGATGCCACTAAACTCAGCTGTGCCAGCTCTGAGCGTGAGAGAGATGAGTACACATGTCAGGGTCCTGGGGGTGTTAACAGTCCTGAACAGCCTCAGCTGGGGCCTCTCTGCCCGCAGGCTGAGAAGCCCTATTTAAGCTCAGCCCTGAACCACCTCTATTTCTGCCTGAGCTATGCTGAAGGAATGCTAGTCTGCAGGTTAGCTATGCCTGCTTGCCCATGGTCCTGATTTACCTGGACCCAGACCTGCCAGTTGACTTTCCTACCTGACCTCAGATGTGTTCTATCTGTGTGGACCTGTCTGATGTTCACTGGGCTGTGTTTGACCATGGCTGCTATCATCAGGCCTGATTCTGACTAGTGGATTGCCTTCCAGCTTGACCCTGGATCTGCCTCATCATGGCTTTCCCTGATCTTTGGGACTGTTAACTAAATCTGGCTGCTGTTTCTGGGCCTGTCCTGCTTGTGCCCCTTGGGATAGGTCCCTGTCCTGCTGGCAGCGTCACTGCATTTGGCTCCTTGTTCCCTAGGGAGCAGCTAGCCCTTACTGCTCTTGGATATCATCTTCCTCAAAATATTCAGCTTCTTTCTGTGCACAGACTTCTCTGCCAAGTACAGCAGTAGATCTTGGAGTGGTGAAGGCTTTCAGGTATGTTATATAAAATCCCAGTTTCTCTGAAGCCACTTTGAACTTTGCTATTCCCCCTAATGAAGCTAGGACTGCCTCTAGAAGTGATGCAGTCCCCATGTAACCTAACCTTACTTTATCCCCAAAGCAGTAATATTTACTGTTTCAGAGTAAGGCCAGAGAAAGGGAACTTAATATGGGTTTGGGTGACTTGTAAAACACAGGAGGCAGCACTGAGTTGCTGAAAGCAGGAGAACATGAAAGGGCTGCTTTCCAGAGCCAGCTTGGAGTGGCAGTTTTCCAGACCACTTTGTATGGTGTACATTTGGGGTTTGGAGAGAGAGAGGATATTTTTTTCTTCTCCCGGGCTTCCTGTGAACACATGAAAACATCACATACATCATGTATTTCAGGTGAGCCTCAAGAATCCACTGGCTTTGCTGTGGTCTTACAGTCTCCACTTAACCATAGTTTAATGGGTCCCAAAGCAAACAACCTGCTGTGAGAAGACCTGTCAGGGAAGAGCCTTTACTGAAGGTTGGCAGAAAGGACATATGAACTGTCCTGCAGCCTCTGTGCCGAGGATGGGACTTGGATGCAAACAGGTCGTCTCAGCTGGTTGGAACAGGAGATTTTATACTGTGCAGTACATACGGGGAGACTCGTGTATCCCTCTCTCCTTGCCTAGAGTGTTTCTACGAATAAGATGGTGGTGGGGAATGACAAACAAATTTGGAAGTGAGGAGGGGGCACACCTTCTAGAGGGAAAGGCAAGGTGGGGCCTTGATAGCCCCCCAGAAGTGGGGAGAAGCTGGTGAGCTTTCAGCAGGCAAGAAAGGGGAGCTGCCCTCAGAGAGGGGGTGAAGTGAGCTTCGTACACAGAGTCAGAAAGGCAGGAGTCACCTTGCTCCCCACCCCAGGCAGTGCATGGATGTACCCCCCTGTCCTGCCATGTGCTTCCATCACCTCTGTCTAGTCACAGGCCCAACAAACTGTTTCCATCTTCTGCAGCCAAGTCCCTTCTCTCTCCCACAGCATCTGCCTTCCTTGCCTGTATCACCACTGTAGACCTGATACCATTTGTCTCTTATGTCTATGTTCCTATTGCATCTATCTGCTTCTCTATGTCTTCAACAGCCAAGTCCCTTCTCTCTCCCACAGCATCTGCCTTCCTTGCCTGTATCACCACTGTAGACCTGATACCATTTGTCTCTTATGTCTATGTTCCTATTGCATCTGCTTCTCTGTGTCTTCAACTGTGCTTCACCTGGTAGGAATCGGAGTAGAAGCTACTGAAAATTACCCTGTCCTCTTTCTTTCATCTGTTACACATTTAATATCTGATTTCTGCTTTCCCTGTGTGCTTCTACCCTGGGGTGAACTTCAGAAAACAAAACCTGTTCCAGTCCTGTTATTTAAAGTACCACTGGAAGGCGCTCAGACACTCTGCTGATGTGTGGTACAAAGTCCATGACAGAGCAGCTTGGCTGCACGGAAAGGAATTAAAATAATGTGCACATAAGCCAGGAGAGCAGCCCCCCTCGCAGCTCCCTGGGAGGAGGAAGTGCATAATGGGGAGGGAGATGTAGTTATAAAATGCGATTCTCTGTTCCTTAGGGGACTGTTAATACCAGTCAATATTTATGAAGCTTTTAGTCTGACTCACGCAATTTGTTCCCCCTTCTATGTGCTTGTCTTTGGTACTCAGCTGTTGCTTGGCCTGTTACTGCCATAAAATTAGATGCTATGGTTTAACTGTGTCCTTGCTTAGAAAAGAGAAGGGAAATGTCCAAGGCAGAGTGTAAAGCGTCTCAAGTTGTCACCTCACCGCAAGCAACCAAGGCAGCACACAGATGGAAGCATCACCAGCTCCCACCAGATGGGTGGTGTACTAAAGAGGAGTTCCTTGTGGTTGAGGCAGCGGAGGGTAAG